ATCTCCAGATGCATCTGTAAGAATAATGGGTAATAAAAGGATTGTGTAAAACATGGAAACATCTCAGCGTGATCTCTACCAGGACCAAAAGAATCGCAGAGACCGGCGTTGTCTCGACAGTAGCAATGGTAAGGAACAACTGTTCTCCACTTCCAGATTGCACGATGGTACTTACAGTTTCACTACAGCTCGGAGAATAAAATGACATGTATTTTTATTTTATTTTAAGACAGTGTCTTGGGCAACCACAGCAATCTGCTCGCAGCCAAAGCATTCACAAGAAGGTTTTTAGAGCAACACCCTATTTGCAGCAGATTTCACCTGGTGACAGCCAGCAATGACTTGCCACCTGGCTAGGAATGCACATTTGTAGTGACCGTGGGTTATGAGAAGTCACCAACCAGTATCTTAGCCTGTGTGTCTGAGGCCTTGAGACATGCAGTGCCCTCAGTTTCTCAGAGAGATCCACTGCTTTCTTAGTGAAAATCCTCAGCTCAATATAAAGTCTGCAAACCAATGGGTGGCCATGTCCATGTTTCATATGCAATCCTCATTTTGAGTGAGACAAGCTGTTTTTGTGCTTCTAATTACTTATTGTCTTTTGCCACATATTACATGAACAGATCTGTTTTTCCAATAACTTTAATAATCTACTGAAACTACAATCCAAAAACAAGCATGTTTGGCTAAGTGGTCATTTGAAATTTCAGTGGGAATGGATGTGAGGCAGACATAGCACTTAAAGTGCATTAAATTAAGTGATGTGTTAATGTGTGAATGTGATTTGTAATGTAAACCACTGAGTGGTCAGTCAAGTCCATTACCTACTTGTTGTCTCTCTTTACAACAAGCAAAAGTCAAAAAGCTAATCGGATGAAACAGGGAGATCTCACTTTACACCAAAGACAAAAGTAACTTTCAGTGATGCCTTTCATGTGCTCTTATTACATCATTCCCTCATTATTAAAGAGAATTTTTTGAAACATCTTGGTGTTATTGGAGACTGAGGCGTTCTGAACCCAGCGTATCTGTGAGTGATCTTACCAATCTGAAGGACCTGAGTACAGACAGCCCTTCAACGTTAGCCAAGCCAAGCTCCATCAGGCTGAGACTAACAATAATGCCATCAAAGATGTTCCAGCCCTCCTGGAAGTAATAGTAAGGATCCAGAGCGATAATCTTAAAGCACATCTCTGCTGTGAAGATGCCCGTAAACACCTAACAATGGGGAATAAAAGCAGTTTTAAATCAATCTGGATTATAAAAGACGACTCACAATGACAATGGTTCTAGTTTTGTCAAGTTTAAGTGAAACACAATGAATACTTGCCAAGTTTCCCACAGAGAGGACATTATCAAATTCTTTTGTCATGGGGTAATGCTCCATGGCCATGAAAAGGGTGTTGAGGACTATGCAAATTGTGATTGCTAGATCCACAAATGGATCCATGACCACCATGCTGACAATCTCTTTGATTTTCAGCCACGCAGGACAACAATCCCAGATCAGGCCGGTGTTGGCAAATCTATACCAGCAAGGAGGGCATTTTTGTCTCGACTCTTCAAGTTCTGGAGTGCAATAAAAACATCTTCATGAGTTTTAATGGGTTCAGAATGCAGTTTGTTTTATTTCTCTGGATTTACAAATGTGTATGGCCTGACCTTCCATGGTGTTGGTGAGGATACTGGCCACACTCATGGCTCTCTGTCGGCCACCTGGTTCATTTAAATAATCCATAGATGGCTGGTGAAAACCCGACCGCCGTTTCTTAAGCTCAGTATCTGTAGTTGTCCCCTATAAAAAACATACAAGAAAAAGAAACAAACACTGTGAGGCTGTCTTATTAGTATCGCTGCAATACACGTTGTCATTTAATGCACCAGAACTGTTTTGCTAAACTATTTTTCTTTTTTTGAACTTATTACAACTTAGATTTCTACTTTGTAGCTTAATAGCACAAAATCTGTATAATCAAACTATTTAAAGAACACTGATTAAGTGTCATAATCATACACAGCACTATATACGTATTATTGATCACAACTATCTGCTGATGTGCATCTTCCTCTTTAAAGTTTCCGTTGTTGAAGGTTTATTACTTTTTTTAATTACTTATTACTTAAATTTCTTATGTTAGATAATAATAAAGAAAATTATCTGCAAACTAGTAAGTATCTTTAGCTAACTAAAGTATAAAATAAGCATTGAGAAAGCAGAAAGCAGCAGAACATAGAAATTTTTACACTACAAGTAAAAGTATTTTAAATCTCCACTCCAGTGAAGTACTCAAGCAAATGTACCCAGTTACCTTCCTTCTGGTTCTATCTGATCTCTCATGCAGTAGTGTTGGGTTTTGTAAGATTAATAGTACTGTTGTACAATCCTGCATAATTTACAGCTACAGACCTTGTCAAGAAATGTGTACCAATGTAATGAGAATTTAATATGATAATATGATATCTCATATCTATTTTTCAACAACAGAAGAATGAGGAAATCAAATAAAGGGAAAGGTATGAACTGGAGGAAGTCAATGGGAAAATAAACCATGAAACCGTTAAGTCACCTCAGGCAGCAGGAGACCTACAGGAGAGGTTGTTACAGAAGTTCCACCGACCAGTGACACCACACCGTTGCAGTCTACTGCACAGTGCATCTTGCCATTGGCGGGCAGCATTATCCGAGGTGCTCCGAGGCTGGTCTGGCTAACGGCACTGCACCGGCGCTCGAGGCGGCGCGGCAAGAACAAGGAGCCCCGGCGACTGTCGCTCTCCTCAAAGGTGCTGTGCTCGTCATCCGCAAAGTCGTTCTCGGAGCCCATGTCTCGCGCACGGCCACGGAAGCTGAAAAGACTTGCACGGCTGTTCCTCCGAGGTGAGAAGATTGAGCCACGGATACTGAGAAGAGACTGGGGAGGCGGAGATGGGGTTAGATGAGTAAGGAAAGTAATTATAGAGGACATGAAGGAAAATGCAGCATCTAACTGAACCTGACTGAAGCGTATGCATTTTCTACCCGTGTACTTCTGGAAAATGGTAACCTCCAGAGCTACAGCCAACATGAGTTTACACTAATGAGGTTAGCTTAACTTAGCATAAAGATGAAATAGTTAGTCTGTCTCAATATATTCTCTCTACTAGCATCTCTAGGCCTCAATAATAAACAAGTAATGTTAAGTCTTTTTACCCCATTAGAGATGGATCTGTTCACAGTCTGCAGCTCATTTAGTTGCTGGTATGGTTAGTCATACAATTCTACATAATTTCATTAAAAATCTTACCCAGTGTGGGGTTTGGCCAAAGCTTACAAGGGATGACCTTTGAAAGCTGACACAGATCTGTATCTATTTCAGGAATTTTTCAAGGATTCTTTGACATTGCAAAGAAAAGGCAAGATTGTTCATTTTACATCACATCTTCACAAATGCATACTGATTCGAATAAATATTAGACAACACTGTCTTGATTTTATTGAACTCTTTTTATTTACCTGGTTGGGTGAAGAGCATCTCTTCTCATAAGAAAGCCTGTTGGCATCAATAGAGAAACGGAAGCTGGACCTCTTGATGCTGTCCTCAGACTCAGATTTGTGGAACTTGTCACGGCACCCCCTCTCCTCCTCTTCCTCCCTCTGCTTCCTCTTCTTCCGCCTGTTGCGTCGCTCTTTGGCACTTTTCGAGCTGAGCTTAGATGTCCCTGAGGAGGACTCGGAGGTAGGGCCTCCTCTCCCGCTGTATTCGCCGCTCTCTGTGGCTGCTGCCGCGGCAACCTGCCAGCCAATCCGAACACAAACACAGTTGTCATAGCAACCCAGCGACTGTCTCAGAGGCTCTGGCAGACTGAAGCAGAGGAGAGTAGCCTGGCAGCTGAGCGCAGCAGCAAAAACAGTAACAGCCAAACACGTCTGATACCTTCTAAAAATTGACTTTTGTTTATTTCCAGTCAAACCATTCTTGCATTTATAACATTTTTCAAGAAAAACAACAAACTGTGTGGATGCTTAGATACTTTAGTTTACAGTCTTTTTGAAATGAAACACATTGTCTGTTTCATTGGATATACCGTTATTGGGATAGGAATGTCTTGGAAATGTGTATGTGCTACACTTCAGTGTAAAACATATAATTACATTTTAGCATAAGAATTTAACAGTCTCTCATGGCAACCCCTCAACCTCCTAGTAGATTTATCTTTGGTATCAAGTCCCTTTGAAAGCTCTTGAGTTTGGGTGTCTGTGTTGCCCTCCTGCCCGTCCGGCAGGGATACAGAAATACCCCATCAGCCTTTTACTGCTGAGGGGTAATAAAAACATCTGAATGCTTGAGCAGAACCACTGAAGGAGAGATCAGAGGTGGAGAAGGAGCGCTGAAAAGGCAGCTATGAAATGACTCATGTACATTAATATAATAAGGAAGCAAGAAACAAGCACATTAGAATGTTAAACAAATACTTTTTAAAAATGAAAATTAATGTATTGGTCAATGTTTGATGGTGGAGTTATACTATGAAAAAATGACAGTGCTATTATGTGTAGTTTGCAAACTAATCAGCAACATCCTGTGAAGATACCACTCAACTCAGCACCACTGGCTGCTTAGCTATGATGCATCTGCTGCAGACAGTGCTGAGACCAATCAATGCAATAGAAACGAAGCCATTTGACCCGTTTTATTTCAAGTGTGTTCATTTATAAGTCGAACAACTACATTATTTAATTTGGCATCTAATATTTTCCAGTCAACCACAACAGCAAATCTCCAGAGTTGCCTGGGCCTCATTAACAAAAAGGCAAATAAAAACAAAGCTCCCAAACTTCACTTACACTAACAATAAATGCCCACATGAAAGAAATGTCAAATAAAATGTCTCAGATAATCATTATAATTAAATAGCTAAAGAGAGGAGGTTACTTGTATATCAGTTCTAAAGAATAAAGATGAATGTCCTGCCTGTGCCTCCTCCTGCTGTCTCTTCAGCTGCTCCAGCATAGCCTGGAACTCCTCCTCTTTCTGCTGGGCCTCCTCGATGGTGGCCTGGTTTTGCTCGTCATAAGCCATGGCCACCACAGCCAAGATCAGGTTGACCAGGTAAAAAGATCCCAGGAAGATCACCAGCACAAAGAAGATCATGTAGGGCTTCCCTGCTGCACGCAAAGTCTGCAAAATCCAAAACAGCTGGATTATTTTTAAGACAAGAAAACAAGAAACGGGCACAATATGCACCCTTTAGTCCTCAGAAATAAGGCACAGTGATGCTGTAGAGCAGGGGACCCCAATACCAGTCCGCAAGGGCCGGTGTCCCTGCAGGTTTTAGATCTCACCCTGGGTCAACACACCTGAATCACATGATTAGTTCATTACCAGGCCTCTGGAGAACTTCAAGACATGTTGAGAAGGTAATTTATCCATTTAAATCAGCTGTGATGGATCAAGGACACATCTAAAACCTGCAGGGACACCGGCTCTCGTGGACTGGGATTGGGGACCCCTGGTGTAGAGGCCTACCCACCTGCTGGTAGAGGTTTTCCCAGTAGTCTTGGGTCATGAGGCGGAACAAGGACAGGAAGGCCCAGCTGAAGGTGTCAAAGCTGGTGTAGCCATAGTCTGGATTGCGACCTGCTTTCATACATGAAAAGCCCTCTGGGCAGACCCTTTGAGAAAACAACACTTTGGATTAGATGTACTTTGTATATTATTTTAAAAGAGAAGTAATACGAGTACGTTTGAGGGATCAGAACCCTGAAATTTAGTTATTATTGTCACAATGCATACTGTCAATGCAAAGTATAGCAGAACAAAACCTCCGTCCATACCTCTGTCCATTCACATTTCCATTCTGACAGATAGAGACAATTTACTTTAATGACACTGCTGCATATTACAGAGTATCACTGTCCATTTAAAAGCTCCCCCCATGCTACGCTATACACGAGCCTTTACAGTCATAAAAACAGCTTCAATAATCAATTACAAAGTACAAAACTACCTGCTCAATCTGACTTGAGACCTGGAACAAAGTGTGCGACAGACATTAAAAATAACTGAGGAATTTTCCATAAACAAATATAAACATTTGCCTTTAAACCCCTGAGATACTGCAGTAGTTAACATGATATGAGAGATAGCATTCAAAGGACTTTAATAGGGAGTCTGGCCTTACTTAGAGCTACTTAGAGTTACTCAGCAGATCACAAAGAAGAAGAAGAAAAAAAAGGATAAGTAATCTACTAACACAAGTACAGCACATTGACACGCATGGTATAACCTTAGATTTTACACGTTTACCCGAGGATAGAGAAGCAGTTTAGATTCCTGGAATGCTTCTGCACAGTGGCGAGTGTCAAAACTGATTGTGTACGTATACTGAGCTTTGTGGTGTAGTCTAATTGGCCATATAAATAAAACATTTTGAGTCTTACCCAGCACCACTGCCATTTCCACAGAGCAGAGCATCCCTACGGCCAGGGAGGTAATAGTAATTTCCTAGAGGGTAGAGGAGATAGAGGGCTGGTCAGTCACAACAACATCAAAGCATTAAAGGGGTGGATATGAGTAACGGTGGCAAAAGAAGGACAATATGCACCCTGTTGGTTTTTCTTCAGTTTTAGCATATGGCTTAAAAGTCTGAAGGAAAGGATTTGTTTTTACACTACTCATCTGTTTGGTGGTTTTTCATGATGTAAGCACATGTCATCATTTAACTGTGTAATAAGTACATCATCTTTAGAAACAAAAATGTTTTTTAATCCCTTTTTCATTTTAGGTCTTAAAAGAAATGCAAATTTAATCTCTCTGTATCCATCTTCTTTTTCTCTGGCTTGTTATGTGATTGTTGTGTAGCCGGTGCATGTCTTGTTGATAACCAGTGAGTCACCCTTTTCTAACACTTTAAACTGCTCATGCCACACAGATGGGCTATGGGAGAATGATGAGAGGTAGAGAGGGGGTGAAAGTGGAGGGTTTTATTGTTGTGGCGATTATCTGGCACATTTGCCACATTCTCCCACCAGCTCTTGTTGGAGAGCACAACGCCTGCTCCCAGCCATCGCTGTCACTCTCTATCAAGGCAACAAGTCAGCATGCCTGACCTCCCCCGACCACTCGACCATTACCGCCACCACCCTGACCTATCTCTGACTATAACGTAGCCAGCATCTAGGGTGGGAGAGTTGACTGTATTTAACCCCAATGAGCGCCTGGCAGACACGAAACACTTTCACCAATTCATTTGGCTTACTCTCATCATTGATGTACTCTATCCAGTCGAAGGAGTTTTTTGTGATGTTCTCCATAAATGTGACGTTCTCCACCAATGTGATGTTCTCCACCAATGTGTTGTTGCTTTCATGTGTGTTGTTCAAAGTTGTGTTGCTGCCCAAAGGAATGCGCACGCACTTCTGCCTCAGGTTGCCCATGAAGAGCTGGAGGCCGATGAGGGCAAAGACACTGAGACAGAACACGGTGAGGATCATCACATCTGACAGCTTTTTCACTGACTGGATCAGTGCACCAACAATAGTCTTCAAACCTAAATGGGAGAGAAGGCAAGGGGGTATGGGAGTAGGAGTGGGACATCGCAGAATGATTAACGCCTGCTAATTGCAGCCACTAGCTTTTAAAGAAGCTAATAACAGCTTACAGGAGAAAGCAGCCAAAATGATCTGCAGTGGAGGTTCCTGTATGAACTACTTGCAGTCATACTGGAACCAAGCTGACACAGACCACTGCTGATCATGAATAAACCCCTAGAGAAATTTCTGTATTTCATGCCCATCACAGTGCTATGGTTTTGGGGTCTCTGGGAAAATGATCATTAATAAGTCATTGCTTTTATTTTAAACAGACTGTCACTGAAACGATTCAAGTGAGCTCTTTTTTGACAGTGCATAGTACTGTGGATGGGATCATTGAAAACCTGCTGCTACATGCACTCAGTAGCGTGCAGTATAAACTGGAGGGTGACTTATCCTCTGAGACACAGAACTGGTCTCATGAATTTCTTAGACATCTGGTTTGTAAGGCATAAAGAAAATGGGCCACCACATACAGGGAAGACTGCACCCCAGCCTTTTTATGTTGAAGAGCTACAGTTTTGTTTATGTGCTTCAGAGATGAATTATTTCTGCATGTAACCTTTGAACATTTTGTTTGTGCATGGTGGAATCAGGTAGTATTATTTCGTTTCTTGATGAAAATGATATTATATAGACTGGAAGATGTTAGCAATGTTTAGCAAACCCACACTAGATTGATAAACTTGCTAGAACATCAAGTTTGATGAATAAAGACCGTATGATGATAACACAAACCCCTTGGCTCAGTTCCAAAATTCTTCTGCTACAACAAACCTAGGCTTTCGTTGGAACACCAAACACTTTATCTGGCACAATTAACCTCCAACTTTTCTATTTATGTTTTTGACCCTGATGGCTGATATGTTTTTTGATATTTATATATCGCCAGGTCAGCTGGCATGACTGTTAAAGCCTGGTATTTATCCTTAACCGACAACTGAGAATGATATCTGCTCATCTAACTCTCACCAAGAAAATGAGAGCGTTAAACCTCTTAACAAAGTAAATTCCCATAACAGAGTGGCATTACATAGAAGACTGATGAGATATTTACATCTCCGTTCTTTAAACAACCTTTTTTTTTTTCACAGAACCGCCTTTTTTATTACCCTTTATCACAAAATGTGTTCCAGTTCCTGAAAAATACCACCATGCACCAGCACTGCTTGCACTGTCACAAAAGAATGAGCTCACCGTGTTTAACTTGAGTCTGAATGTAGCTATGAGAGCTACAAAAAGTAATAGAAAGGGGAAATAGATGATGGTCTTTATCCAAAGAGTCAGTGCCAGTTTTTGGCACATAAACCGTTCAACAACAACAACAACAACATTAAAACCATTTATCTAAGACTGTGCAGGGCACGACATAGGACCTCCAGGAGAGCCAGTCTGGCTCTGTGGATGTGTGGCTTGCTCCAGCACATTTAACAGATGTTTGATGGATTAGAATCTGGAAGCCAAGTCAACTCCTTGGGCTCCACATTGTCTTTTTAAGGAATGGCAGGACACATTGGGCCTCATTTTCTAATATTTGCCCTGACCCCTTAAAAAGAAAATTTATGACATGTGTGCTTGTCCTGCCTGCATGGAGTCAAAGTGGAAATGAAAAAAGAATAACATACTATAAGATAAAGAAGAAAACAGGCAGAGGGTATGGAGCATGTGATCTGTCAGGCCAAGACAAGTAACTCACTGCAATGAAAAAAAAAAACCTTCCTATTCTTCAGCATTTCTGGGATAGTGCCAAGAAGTGACAACACCCAAAATACTTTATGATATGATAAAATGAGATGCAGAATATGAATATGCTTGGATTTAAAGGCTAAAGCCTACAGCTTTCTATTTAGTATTTTGATTTTTGTATATGCAATTTACTTTATTGCTGATTATGATGTTTTGGTAAAGTGGAAATAACAGCCAAAAGGCATCATAATTATTTTAATTATTATTAGTAGCAGTATTTATTTTAAATACTTCCTAAAGGGATAGTTCATAATTATTTAATTTTTCCATAAAGAAATGACAAATGTAGGGACAAACTATTGAGAAATCCCTGACTTACACAAATGAGGGCCATTGTCCTGCTTGGGGAGACTGCTGTTGCCATGACAATGATCAGCTAATGTTATTGTCTGTACCTGTCCTGGGTTCTATTGTTGTTGTTGATTAGGGTATGAACGTTTGGTTCGTTTGCGCTGTGAATTGCGTTAGTGTTAAGAATGCCGTTACCCAACCACCACTCACCATATCACAATTTCTCCATAAAACAGACAACACTGAACAAGACATGCGCAGGAAAAACAAGGTAAGAAGGAACCCTACACACGTAAGTGCTTGCCACCAGAAAATCGGCTTTTGCAATGTCTCATGCAAAAAGGAAAATGAAATAGTGCACAGAAATCTACTCTTACGGCTCCCAAGGCAAGAATAGATTCCAACCAAAAAGAATTCTGCCTTAAAGGATGTATCTAAAAGCTAAGAATCGTGTCAATCTGTGCAGATTGGAGCCAGATTCCAGCTTTTACTGGCCTTGGGACGAAGGCAGCACGAGGGACGGCGACAGGCGTCGTCAGGCTTAGCTACAGTGAGATGAGCTTGGGGGGTGGGGGGGGTTGGATGTTAGCGCCAGTTAGCCATTAGCATTTCCCTAACGCCATGGGCCTTGATGGCTCTCTCACCTGGGATGACTGATATAGTTTTCAGGGCTCGCAGAACCCTGAAGGTTCGCAGTGCTGAGACATTGCCCAGGTCCACAAACTCTGTGACATATCTGTAAGGGAAAGGAGGGGGCAGACAGGAAGGAGGGGGTGGGCGGGGATGTGGGGCATTTCAGGAAAGGTGTGGTACAAACACACACGCGCACACGCACGCACGCACACGCACGCACACACACATGAGGTGTGACAAGACAAAAAGAGGGTCGTAGGATGGGAAGAGAGGAGAGGAGGGAACGACAAACAGTCACACACAGGACAAAAGGGAGGAGTGCTGGCAGCAGGCGCGGCCTTACCTGGTATTACTGAGATAGTTTTCAAAGCTCGCAAAACTCTGAATGTGCGCAGAGCTGAAACATTGCCTAGGTTTACAAACTCTGTTATATACCTGCAGGATTAAATGCACAGTTACTACACAGCAAAGAACAGGCAAACCCAGTGAGAAACAAAACTGCCCTCAGATAACCATTACCAACTACAGACCTCTCTCAGACACAATAAGATTATAGTACTATTACATTACGTGCTCAGCGTGTAACAAATACTACGTCACACACACACACACAAAAAAAAATAGCACTGTAATGCCGAAGGCTGCCTTTTATAGTTTTAAGGGAGATAGCAGAAGTCATTGAGGCATGAGACTAATATGGGCCGAGATACACAGTGCTTTGGGGCCTCACATCCATTATAACAGAGCAGAGTTAAGATTCTTGGCCACGATTTTAAAGCGTACATGAATAAGCTGCAGATTACTGCAGTGCTCTCCATTTGATCTGTTCTTTTTCTCACATTCAGTGTGCCTTATTAGGCTGCTGGGCTAATTAAAAGCATTTGGCCTCGTAATCTACGCCATATCATGTTAAGCTGATCCTAACTGTGTTTGTCATAATACTTACGCCATGAGGATAACACTGAAGTCCAGCCAGTTCCACGGGTCTCGCAAGAAAGTGAACTTCCCCACACAGAAGCCCCTGGCCAGGATCTTTATAAGGGACTCAAAGGTGTAAATCCCCGTAAATGTGTACCTGGAAAAGAAGGTGAAATGAGTTTTTCTGAGCATAAGAGGTCCTTATAACAGCTCTACTTGCCCTCTGACTATGGATTTAAC